GCTGTGACCAAAATGTCAGTGTGTGCATGCAGGGACGGCGCTTCGGTTTTTGTCTGTGTGTATTTAACAGAATTTGGAGTCAACTTACATATAAAAATAAGAGGTGGAAAAGCTCCAGCTGGTACTACAGGGGTGCAGAAGATACAACCAGGATCCCCGAGGCTGTGTGCACAAGTTCAGCGCACAAGTGTGTAATTAGAAACGCAGGAAGCTAAACTTCACCGATGAATATTCGTGCCATTTCCACCTAAACGGAACTGTCGCCTGTCGTAATTAAACCAAAAAAAACCCTCCCGTTTTTATTGATGAATGTGTGTCTTGTGTTCACGCTCACATGTCACACTTGTCTCTGAGCACAACGAAGATGATAGTTTTTGCACGAGCAAATTCTTTAGAGGAAGTGCTGACCGGCAGACGAGCGGCTCCGACTGACCGTGCTGCTCGCAGGGAAATACTGAATGTAGGATGAGCGAGCTGAGAGAAAGATGCTTATGATTTCATTTGGAGCTCTGACAAACTGCTGTAGTTCCAAAAGGGAGAGAGAAGAGGGGGATTAGTGATAAAAGGAAGAAAAAAAGAGGTGGAGCTAAAATAAAGGAGGGAAAATAGCAACAAGAACAAAATGGACAGAAAAGAACGGTCGAGTAAGCTGTGGTACAATCAGAGTAGACTTCGTTGACTCGTTCACTGGTGTGTGTGTGTGTGTGTGTGTGTGTGTGTGTGTGTGTGTGTGTGTGTGCTCGTCATACCAGTCTCATCTTCTGCAGTCTCCTTGGAGACAGGCTCTTGGTGCTGGTGGGAGACCCTGCACACACTGTCATCCCGTCCTCGTCTTCTTCCTGAGAGAGAAGATGAATATAAATCCAAGACTTTCTGTCTAATGAGTGATCAATTCTGACCAGAAGGTGTGAATATCTGAGCTGAATCAATGATCCGCTCTGTCCAGTTTGCCCCTACTTGTAATTAACATTTTGAGTTAAAACTCCAGTTTGTTACCACCTCTCTTCAAACAAATCATGCAACAGGGCCTAGGAATAAAAGTATTCTTCCTTTTTATCCCCTCGAGCTACACTCTGATGGTTTTTTCTCTTGAGCTGTGCTTGGGGACAGCTTTTTCACTTACATATTGGTTATTGCACCTAATAACACAGCTTGTGCTTTAAACAACGAGCATAGAACTCTGCAAACTGGTATAATGAAAATCACGGAGCAGATCCTGTGCTATCACACATTCATTTTTCTCCTGAATGAACAGGAAATCTGTTTAACTTCAAAATCAAATAGATTTCTTCCCCTGTGTTTGTGTGTGTGTGTGTGTGTGTGTGTATGCGTGTTGAACAGAGCCTCTTGTTCATCACCGGCGCCCTCTCTCTTTCCCACTGACACATCAAACTGCTATTGCCTTATCAAATCCATCAGGCTTATGGAAACATACACCTCGTTACATTAGCTTTGAGGAAATCACAGGCTCACTGATGAAATATGCAGACAATAAAAGAGAGAGGAGGGCTGGGGTTTCGCATGACATGACAGGCCATAGCCAGAGGGGCGCTAGTTAAAAATGTACAGCCCTGAACAAAGCACTAAGCAGGCTTCAACAGTCATTAAAAGGCCGCTACGTCAGAACCACACACTCCATGTAAAGCAGCCTTCCTGTCTGTTTCTATGAGGGAGGTGTGTGTCTGTCTGTTCGCCTCTGAACAGGCTTGTGTACATGTGTGTGTGTGTGTGTGCGTGTGTATGTGTGTGTTGGCCTGCCTCGCAACATGTGTCTGAAAGGTGTGAAGGTTCGGACGCTCACCCTCGCTTTGAGTCTGCCCCTAATGTCCCGGATACCCCTCTTGGCATGAACCTTGGCCTAGGAGGAAAAAAAACACACACGCACACACACACACACGCGTGCACACGTGCACACACAGATTTCTAATCAAAACATGTTGCATTAACATTCTGTTCTGGTTTCATGTAACATCAAGAAATGCTTTGATCCCTGTGGCCAAAACACGCAGACAAAAGGCAGGATAAGAGCGCCTCGCACACTAACAGGAGGCGATAACATGAAAGGGCACCCTGACCACCTATTGCACAGAACATAACGACACAGCCCTGCTCATCAAACGCTCACCATCATGAGCAGCGCTCCCATGACAACATGTTTTTAAACTTCTTTTTCAATATTCAAGGAGGCCAATGCTGATGCTCCCTGAAGATCTTTAAATGTGAGATTTGAAGCCTTCTGGGCAACATCTGGTCTTGAAATGTTACTATTTGTGATTTTCACATGAAAAAGAATAAAAATACCTTAGATACAGCTGTGTTGAAGAGCGCTCCTCCTTTCTGTGACAGAAAAGGGAAGTGTTATTGAGTTAAAATTACGTGAATCACTTTTCCTTCATTTTAAGCAATTATTAACAAATATTCACTCTTTCAGATCTCAGAAAACTAGTTTTTTATTATTTATGCTAAATCACTTACAATATCATTTCTCGTGTGTAATGAAGAGGTGTTTAGGTCAACTCCAAGCTTTTGTTAGAAGCAGATTTTACCAACTGATTGAGTCAAGTGACGATCCAAAAGCACAGAAAACATTGTTGATGGTGGATGTTGGAGTAAAATCAAGACTTGGGACCAAGATAATATCAAGTAAAACATGGAGATACAGCGCCATCCAGGATGGGTGTAAACACGAATGCAGAAACACAAAACCGTCACACGGTCCTCGTTGATAATGCCTACACTGTAAATCCAGTTAGAGTTTGTCACGCATGTCATCAGAAAATAAAGCACGAACACAAGAGAGGGCGTTAAGGTGAGCAGTAGAAGCGGTTTAGGGACAAACATCAGCTGCAACTCTGGCTTTTTCTGCCAAAGACTGAACATTAAAATCATAAAAAACCACCTTAATAATTACAGTCTTTGATATAGCGCCTTCTGGAGCCCTGGAACCCCCCAAGGTGCTTTACAAAACAATCAGTCATTCACCCATTCACACACTGATGGTGATGAGCTACAATGTAGCCACAGCTGCTCTGGGGCACACTGACAGAGGCGAGTCTGCTGTACACAGGTGCCACCGGTCCCTCCGAACACCACCAGCAGGCAAAGGGGGTTAAGTGTCTTGCCCAAGGACACAACGACAGCAACAGACTGAGTGGGACTCAAACCTGCAACCTTCCGATTACAGGGCTTCAAATGTGGAAGTTTCCACTAGACAAGGAATTCTCCAGCTAGGAGAACACCCGAGGAAGGTCTAAACGATCTAATGTGAGTCTTGACCTGGAAATGGCCCCGGACTGATGCTTCAATGTTTTATCAAGGTGATTTTCGTATACCCCCCCCCCCCCCCCCCCCCCCCCCCCCCGAGGAAAAAAAAGAAGTGGCGATTTTGATTGTTTCCAAGACTCAAAAAAATCTGCATCACAAACAGGATTAAAGTTACTTCATTCCAGATGTTTCGGTCTGCTAAATTATTCTTACTTCTTGTAAATCATCACTTGTGATTTTCCTCACATCAATCAGCAATAAACATTTCTCTTATTATAACTTGTTCCAAACCAATCGAAACCTCTGCAGCTGTCAGGGTTTTAGGAACGACTGCAGTAAAATTGTGCTGACGGAGAATAACGTAGTCTCACTGATCGGCGGTAAACGGAGCGATTCGCAGCATTCAGGAGGATTTTTATTTTAAAGAAGCCTAAAACAGTGATGGAAAGCACTGAACGGGATTAATTCATACGTTAAGTTTGGCAGACTGACATTATGATACCCAGCCTTTCTCTCGGCGCCTTTCTTGTTCCCTCCGAGTTGCTGCTTCTTTCCTTTGCCGGGTCTCTGTTTAGTCTTTAGTGTAAGCTCAAAACGCCGACTAAACGGATAAACAGAGTAAATGGCAGACAGCGTTTCAGAAGTTGGCAGTAAGAGAGGAGGAGAGGGGCCGAGGTGAAGGCCTCTCTTATAGATCCCTGTCAGTCAGGAAATGTGAACTTTAACAAACCTTTGAAGATCACTCTAGAGAACTAATTCAGCCTTCGCTGACGGCGTGGGGAGATGGGGAGGTCGAGGGAGAAGTAAGGGGGGGGGGGGGGGGTGATGGAGATGAAAAGAGGGAGAGATAAAGACAGAAAGATATGGGAAGGAAAAGGGTAGGAGCCTGAAAGAGAAGGAAGAGATGTGTGTTCTCGGGCTGGTTCAGCGGAGAAACGCCCGTGTTTGCTGCCAGATCAACATGTCACGTCAAATCACTTCTGTCTTCCTCCCTGTCTGTATCCACTGTCCTGCTGCACGCGCCACTACACACACACACACACACACACACACACACACACACACACACACACACACACACACACACACACACACACACACACACACACACACACACACGGCACTGGAACTGTACGTTCAGGGCAACCCCTTCCTTCCAAAGGCCACACCAGAGCTTCAAACGCTGAGCTGTGTCAATCACATCTTCAATTAAACATAACTCCACCACAAAACGAATGAAACAAAAACACCACTGATAAAACCTTCTGGGTACGATACCAACAATTTTCTGGAAATACCTTCACCGTGTGCATCCACTGCTGGTACGACCTTGAGCTACCTGAAGGGATGTTAAAAAAGAAAAAGAAAAAAAAAAGGCATGAATTAATCATTTTGTACTCAGCAGCCCAATATTGTCACGACGACGCAGCCATAATTGTGTAAATCTCACTGGGACACAATCCAACGTGCACAGAGACACGTGCACATCATTCAGCTATTTATTCTATAAAGTTCTGAAAAAAAAAAAAACAAACTAATTCATGCAGATGAATTTAGATTTTCCCGGTTACAAAGTGTTGATCTGAGAGGGTGAAAAATGTGTAGCTCAGGGGTCAAAAGTCACATGATCAACTCTAATCATATAGTACTTTAGTTATGTTTGCTGTCATGACAGGAGGAATAAAACATGAAGCATTAGCTTCATTTCTTCTATTAAAATGTTTTCTCCCCTCTTTCGTTCACCTCTCACTGTGATCTCCAACAGAAACCTGAGCAGCACTCAGATCCATCCTGGCATGGCTGACGTTTCACTTCACAGTTCCAATGTCAAAGATTTTGTTCCCTCAAAAGTTACCAGATTTCTCTTTCGGTCAGATCTTTGTAGTGACTAAACTACAGAACATAACCTGTACCTGCCTTTCTGCTCCCCTCAACATAAAACACCGATATCCTGACGCCTGAGCCAACTGTTAACTTGTTTTAGCTTCAGACCGACAGACGGTGTGTTTACAACAGCTTTCACAGAGTTTAAATTATTTTTACTGCAGATTTCCATTTGTGATTGTATCATGAGAAATAACCATTATTTATTAGGTTTCCTCGAGTTCTCCTCACTATTTCTACACCTATAATAGCAAGTATGCAGCAGCTAAATGAGCCCAGGAGTACTCACTTCCACAGAAGCCCCCGTCTGTGATCTCTTCTTCAAACACGTCGGTGAAGCCGCGGCCTGCGTTCAATTTGGCCAGCCGTCCGTCGATGAACTACAACCATAAATTACATCACGCTTATTAGAGACTGCAGGGGGGTGGGAGGGGGTGATCACATATACACAGATTCAAACACTCCAGCCTGAGAGGGGAGTTATTAATCCTACCTGACGGAAACTAAACCCTAGATTAGATGGGTTGCAGGTAATGGGGATTTGTTAATATGGAGCAGGTGAGGGATTATAGGAGCAGACTACTTTCTGCACACTGTCTGAGACATGAGGAAGTTTAATTTCCTTCCTTTGTGACATGGGAGCACATAAAACTCCGCGTCATAAATATGGATTTAACGGCCGAGACGGCAACACGTTCCACGAGCACGGTGACTAAATCACATTAATATGATTTTAAATGTAAGAAAATCACCAGATAATTTAAAATTCTTCAGACAAAACGATGTAAAATAGTTTTGTTTATGTTTGATCAAAACAAAACGGGGATGGAAATACAGAACGAACACAACATTTATACAAATATATCAGAGGCTTTTTAGGAGAATTAAACAGAATCTGGTGTTTCAACATGAAAAATTTACTAGCTCAGCTGTTTGAGTAGCAGAACGGCTCAAGTTTGCATTTTAGAGAAAAAAAATCCTTACATTTATCCAAAGAAAATAAAATATTTCATTTCTGATGATTTCTAAACATTCACGGGATAATTTTACACTTTTTAAATTCCTGTTAAACAGATAAAATCCTTGAAAATACAGAAAAGTGAACTTTTTCAAGTGTTTAGAAATAAAACACATATGAAACACGATCATTTTTACCTGTTTTCATGTCAAGTATGAGGAACATTCAACAAACTACAGACCAGAATAATTAGTATTTCATTCCCAACCATCTGTGTTTGAAGCCGATTTTATTTACTTAGTTTCACTAATTAGTGATCAACTCCAGCGACTTTTAAAGCCTTATTTTAACTTTTTAATGATAAATGTTATGCTCCTTTTTTAAATACAAAAACTTTACAACAACATATTGTTGGATCACTTTTCTTTTTTTAGCAGCAACAGTCCTCCCCCTCCTCACCCCCGCCGTGTCTCTGTGTCCGCAGTGTAACACCAGTACAGGCTGTTCTGGGGTTCGCGTCCTCAGGGACAGCCTGCTAACTAGCGACCGACGCGGCTACTCGCTCTTCTGGTCAGGAGAGCTGGAAAACTAATGATTAGATCATTTTAATGAGAGGTGAGACCGCAGCTTCCATCCGCTGCCTGCTACATGGCTGGCCCAATTAGCCAAGATAATCAACCCAAATCATCACCTCGCTCACGCCTCCACTCCAACACCCCCACTCAAACCCCGGCCAGATTACCTGCCTCGCTGTGGGCATTAATTGGACATTACTCAAGAATGGCAGACTGTGATCACAAGCATGCAAACCAAAACCAGAGAAAACAACAGCACCCCGCTACATCTGCATGTGTGTTGGCACAAAAGGCGAAGGCTCGTTTTCCTTTACTTAGGGATAATCATTAAAAATAAAACAAATGTTAAGACCAAAGTGGGGTCAATGCTGTTAAGACAAAAGAAAATGATTCAAAGCTTTTTGATTTCATCAGAATTTGTAACTACGGGCTTTTGTTATGTGATTAATTTCATAGTTTTATTATAATCCAAGATTTTGACAGAGTTTGTGTAATCCAGTTTCTAAGTGTAAATCATCCCATTTTGTTACAAGAACATTCACCCATTCACAAGTCAGTGACTGTGTTCTCCCTTTGTTTACAATTTAAATTCATGAAGCTGTAAATGAGGTCACCCCTCCCTGGGCTGACACCTTACCCTGGTGGAGGGGATTGGGTGTCCCAAAGACACCAAGTTGTCTGAGGCTTTATGCCTCTGTTAGGGTCACCCATGGCAAACAGGTCCTAAATGAGGGATCCAACAAAGCGCAGCCCATAGACCACTTATGATGAGAAACTGCGTCAATCACCCATACGCGGGTCACCAGGGCCCCCTCCAGAGCCAGGACGGAGTCAGGGCATGTTGGTGAGCGCCTGGTGGCCGGTGTCGGTACAAGATCTGCTCGGGTGCAAGATTGGCTCGGGGTCCGTCGACTGCCGATGACGTGTAAGTAGTTGCTGAACATGAACCTTACGGAATTACGTAATGACGTTATGTTGTTATCACGTTACGTTGGTCCAGTCAAATCTTTCTGTTGGAAAGATGGACAACTTTTACAAAGAAATCCATCATTACCTATTTGAAAATACACTTTTAGCATAGAGCTGCATGTATATTATGGCTGAACGATTAACTGCATGTGCAATTAAATTGTGATGTGACAAAAGGAGATTTCCTACTCGCAAAGGCTGCAATTTGGCAGCGAGTGGTTAGCGCAATGCTAATATGCGTGGAAAAACCCATAGGAATGCTAATGCTAATATCACCAATTACATTCTTACAAATTATGAATTAGAAACGTGCCAAATGATTACATTTGGAGTCTTATAGAAAGTAAAACTACCATCAATCAAATAAGTACAGACAGGTATTTTAGTAAAGCCAGAAAACTTTTAACTCCAGAGTTTTGGCTAGCAGCTATGAGCGTACCTGAACTACGCATGGACAAGACGTCAAAAACTAAACAAAATACTTCAATAAACGGGACACACTATTTTCCTGCAAATACAATTTCACAGGTGTTGCTAATATCTATGATCCTTCAAGGGATGTGCTCAAAGAGGAGATCAACATTATGAATAAAATATAGTGTTTTATTTTACAAATACCATTATAAACACAAACTTGCGTCTTAATAAACATTATTTTAATAACGAAACTGATAAATTCTATCCAACAGTATAGATGTGTAGTGTATTTTGTCCGAGTGGGTTTGCCGTACTTTGACGCCATCAGCAGTCGAAGGACCCCGAGCCGATCTTGCACCCGAGCAGATCTTGTACCAACACCGGGCTTTCACCTATGGAGTTCGACCAGGCATAGCCCCTTAGAGGAGTCGTGGGTCCCCCTTCTCATGTGCTTACCACTTGTAGAAGGGACCAAAGTGGTCAGGTGCATTATGTGTTGCGCTGGATGGTAGCTGAAGGTGGTCTCATTCTCAGCTACAAAAGCTAGCTCTTGGTATGTGGCATATCACCTCTCTGGTGGGGAAAGAGTGAGTTGGTATGTGAGGTTCCAGCTAGATATAGTCGAACGCACCTCGACGCATGGTTCTGGCACCAGAACCAGATTCCTTGAGAGGGGCTGGACTCTCCACTACTCTGGGGTTTCTCCCACTGAGAGGCCCTGAGCAGGGGTGGGCATACGTGTTTCCCCTCCTCTTGTTGCCTGTAGGTTTGGGGTTTACCACAGTGGTCCTGTTTGCTTCATCAGACCGTGATCCAAGCGGCCAAAATGAGTTTCACCCTAAGAGATGGGGTGAGAAGCTCTGTCATAGGGCCCAGGACATGTTTCTTGGCTGGCCAGGGAACACCTTGGGAATCCCTCAGATGAGATGACCAGAGTGGCTGCCTGACCCCCGAATAAACAGATGAAAAATGACGGATAGGGTGAAAACATGTAAAAAGTTTAATTAGACTCTTATGTGACGAATTCCTAAATGTAAATATGCCTTTGGGAAAGATAAGGAACCGAGTGGCATCTCAGGTCTGGCACTGAGATGCTGGAAAACTCGTCAATCTGAAATCAGCAGCTATTTTTTCCCCTCAGCTTCTGTGCTGAAACTGATGGAACAACCACATTAAAGATTAAAGTTTTATGTATAAACTAGTTTTGTTTTCCAGCAGCTGTACTGCCTTGACTATTCTGCTCATGAACACTTAAAAAGAACAAACGCACATATAGAAGACCTCTGACAGTAAATCATCTGGGTATAAGATCCCCTTCTGATCCCGCCAACAACATTCGTTTAGGCCGTCTCCGCTCAGATAGTGAAAACTGGACAATGTGGGTTTTAGTGCGAGTCTGAGAGACTGCAGGAGCTGAGAATGGCTGATAGGAAGCAGTTTAATGTTGACAGATGTTCCCCCGCATTCTTTCTGAAGATTTCTCCCACTTGTTCTGTTCTTAAAGATGGGCTGCTGACCGAGCGGAAAGAGGAGAAAAAAATAAACAAAACAGTGTGTGTGTTAGGTGGAAATGTGACATTTTTAGCAGCATGTGGCTTGTGTGTTTAATTTAGGATTAGTGTAATGGCTTTACATCATGGAGGAGTAAGATAAAATTACCGTAATTTCCGGACTATAGAGCGCACCTTAATATAAGCCGCACCAGCAAAAAAAAAAAAAAAAAAAGGTTTTCTACACACACACCGCACTCAACTACAAGCCGTGGCGCAGCAGCCACATGCAGGTCTCCGGTGCACAGCGCATGTATGGCCATAACATAAGATAATTAGACGGACAGACGCTTCACGGAGGTTTTTCATTGTTGTTTTAATTCAACAAAACCAATTTTAAACACGGGTGAACATTTCTGCAAGTTTAGAAAAGAAAACAGCACTGGTAGCATTCATATTTCTGGATGTTATAAAATAAAAACAGCACTGACACGTTATTACAGGTAATTTGCATGTTTAGAAGAAAAGAACAGCGCTGACACAGCATTAATAAGCCCCGGATGATTAGAAAATAAAAACTGCACACAAAACATGCCTGGTTAGTAAATAAAACACACTTGCCTACCAGAAAAAGTCATTCGCTCTCATCTTCCTCTTGCACACTAAAGCCATTAAAGTCCTCTTCTTCAGTGTCGGAGTGTAACAGCCTCAGAAGAGCTTCGTCGCATACCTTTTCTGTGGCGATGTCAGTGTCGCTGTCCGTGTTGCTGTCATCATCCCCGGGTGAAGCTGGCTTGAATGAGTTCTTCCCGCTGCCGTCTCCAGCGCCAAACCATGGATTCATTCATGCCAAGCTTACGTGCGGCAGCACTGTTTCCCTCCTTTACTGCCAGATCGATGGTCTTCAACTTAAATGCGGCATCATATGAACTCATACGTGTAGTTACCATGATGAGGGGGTACGGATTTGAAAATAATTCTTCGTCGTGCCGGCTGCTTGCATGTGCTAAATTAAAATGAGCACTTTCTTCGATTTCCACTTTTGACTTCCACCTGTTTCACTTTCTGCTAAAGCGCCCCCTGGCAGGTGAAGAAAAATCTTCAGTAAAGCCGCACCTCATTATAAGCCGCACGGTTCAAAGTGTGGGAAAAAAGTAGCGGCTTATAGTCCGGAAAATACGGCACTTATGTTTCTGCTTTGGGCTTCCTAAACACATTACTGAACTACACTCCTTTCTTTATGCATGTGCAGATAGAAAAAAATGCAAATATTTGTCAAATAACAGCACACGTCTCTCAGTCCACCGGGCAATTTTACCCCCCAGTTAACAATAATGGCATGCAGGTTTTTGTTAACGACTCCATGCTGCTCAAGTTAGAGACGATTACTGGCGGCTGATAACAGCAAAACAGGTCATTTAAAAGAAGAGAAAACATTCAATCAATAAAGTACACATAGAAAAGCAATTTCCTGCTGAGGTACGCCAACACCTCGAGTTCAGGTAACACTTTCAGAATCACGTACACGCGAGTCAGCCAGCGTTTCATGTGGAAGGACGTCAGGCGAGTCCAAGAATAGGGTTTAAATTCCGAGGTTTATTCCAGGAAAACAGTGAATAAGAAATCTCACACTTTTACCTTGGCTTTCCAAATGAATAATTTATGTACTGCACTGAATTTGTGGAATATTGTTTCATTTGATTCGACCTCAAAGGCCTCGCCGTATGATAACAGAGGGACCAAAGCTGCTGGTTGAGCAGGAGGGCCCGTTGTCACCAGCCCCGCTGGGACAGGAAACATAAAGCGTTTACCTCAGCTAGAGGAGAAGGAAAACAAACCAAAAGAGGAAAAATAATCTGCAAATAAAGGTTTAACCAGCAGGAAAAGTAATCCTGCACTCAGTCCAAGACCTTTACTCAAATAGCCACCACAGCTTCTAACGAACAAGTCTTTTGGCTAAATTCAAGCGTACTTCTTTTTATTATTTTGTTGGAGGAACTACTACAAACAACAGTCACACGTCTCATCTACAAGTAATCACTTGTCTGTAAACAGGATTAAGGTAAATAATGAAGCAAAGCTTGAATCCAACAGGAACAGTATGAGGAGCAGAAGCACCTATTCAGTCCCACGGAGTGGACCTATCCATATAAAAATTTATGTGTGCATGTGTGTGGCCGCGCAAGTTGAGTAATGCTTGTGTGTTTGGGAGCGGAAATGGGTCATGGTCAGAGCAGCGCTCGGGCGAACCACTGGCCCAGCTCATTTTAGCAGAAACGGGAGTGGAGTCGATAAGCTCGCCCCATTCCCTGGACTGGCGAGGAGGAGCAGATAAGGGCCTGTTTCCCAATGCTACCGCAGTGGAGGCAGCCGGCTGGGAGGAAGCTTTGAACTGGTGCTCGCTATCGTCTCTGCCTGGGAAAATTATGACAAGGGTGTCCAGAGAAACAAAAGGCTGATTGAGAGCTGCTGTGTGTACTCTCAAGGGGAAAATCACACAACCATGGGTCAGAGAGGACAACGGTGAGGAGAAGCAAAAGGAGGAGATGTTTTTTTAGAGCCAGAGGTGTTGTCCCTCTCACTCTAGATCTGCTAAGTTTAGCATTACTGAAGGGACTGGGAGTAAAAACACACCCAACTATGCATGAGTGTAGCTAAACCACACATGAATAACGGATACCTGCTCACACATAAACAAAATCCCTAGAAATAAACATATCATCACATAGGAAGTACGCATTAAAGGAAACTCTGAGAAGTTCTTTTTTTCCCCACACATATTTTTCCTTTGACATGTCGAGGATAGGACTCTGTTGTGGTTCGGTTCAGTCGGTGGACTTTCTTCCTCCCCAACTTATCACGGTGTTGTTTGTGCTCTGGATAAACAGACACATTAAAACGGGCGCTCTGAGATAACCACAGTAAACAGTTTGTACGGGTCAGTAACCGTCCGTAATCCCAGGATTCTACATTCCTCCTCACTCTCAACTCAACTGTCAAGATACGTGGTGCGAACCCTGAACAGCACAAGAGGAACTGAGAGAGAAAATGCCCAGTGGGCTCAAAAGTATATATAAAACGTCAGATACGAGCTGCTGTTGATGGGAGAGGGCTGGATGTTTCTGTTTTAGCGTTAGCCTCTGGTTTAGCACGTAGGACATCATTACACACATCTGTTTGTACCTGTTTGAAGAGCTGCAGGTTGACAGCCATAGACAGGAAGCTCTTCATGGTGCTGGAGCGATGGTTGATGAAACTCTCCTCGCAGAATGTGATTGGTTCTCCCTGTGGAGGCGACACAAACATTAGAGACACACATTCAAAATGCCAAACTAGTTTTCATCATTATTAGTTCACTTGTTTTGTGAACACATGTGCTGTGGTCTCTAGTGGAATGAATGTCTTTTGAGTCGATCTCTGTAGAAAAAAAGCCCTGGCGCTCCTGTATCAGCAATTAGAAACGAGCCAGAGAAGAGGTGAGCAGAAGACGGTAGGATCTCACCGCTGATTGGCTAACAGAAACGTGACTCTACCACTGACTCTGTTTGCGCCATAACGTTGATGTTTTGTCTCCACAAATAACACAAGCCAGAAGGAGTTCTGCTGTGTGGTGAAGTTGCTAATGCTAACAGTTAGCTACCACTACCTCTCTGCTCTCTCCTCGATGCTAAACCAACAGCCAAGTTGGGCAAGTTCATGAATGCTACCTTACAGTGACGTAGATCTGAGTGGATTACCTAATTAGAGCGTTTCCCCGTCTATTTTCTATCGACAGCTAATGCAGGAAATAGGGGTAGAAGACCATTTTCACATTTAGTCTGCATGTTAAACTCAGCGTGACCAATCACGTTTAAAAAATACGTTTGTCGGTGAAAGCTGGCCTTTAATGATTTACTTTAAATTAAACTGTATTATTTCCAATCACTCCCCATCTGGCAGATTAATTTTTACCTAAAATAGTAAAACTGTTTCAGCTGATTTCTTCATAACTGTGCAACTAAATGAGAGAAAAACTGGTTTAATTGTGGCAAAAAGACAAGAACAGAAGAAAAGTTAAAACAGAAACAAAAACTAGCTTCCCTGGAAGCGTACACAATCTACACTGGACCCGATGACGGTGTCCCCGTAAACTTCCCAGTTCTCCACACGAACACACAATCACATTATTACCATTTCTTACATCATGTCTGTTGGCCTGTGAGCTACAGACACAGAGGATGACAACAGAAGCACTGCAGGCCAATCACACGCTGCCCTCCAGTCATTTCCACTTCATGTTTTCTTATAATTAACATAATTCTCACATATTTCAATGATGCTCTAAATTCCTCTGAAGTAAAACAATGTGCTTTGTCTGTTCCAGGCTACGAGCGCAGTGTGACACACAAAAACAACCCAACAACAGGGAGAATAACCTCGTTTCCGAGGAAGGGCGGATGCTATCAGTGGCCTAAATTACTTCACAGGAAAAGAGCTCCACTTACAGTAGAAAAGTTTGAAATGAAGATTCTCTTGTAAAAGTTGAGAGTAGTTTAAGGATTTTACAACGTGCACCAGATCTAATAAACAAGAGAGGAGCATTATTAGGTTGAAACTCCAGATATTTCCTCCAAAATAATAATAATAACAAGAGTTATTCTAAGAATGTCTCTTTTTGGCTTTCCAAAGCAACGCCTGTGCAGAAACTCAGTCTCATCATTCACTCAATCTATAAGATGTGACTTTTAGTTATTTAGCTGCAAATGGTAGCGACAATTGGCAGCCAAGCACTCGGCACAAGAAATTCTGCTTGATTCATTTAAATATTCTCTCCTCAATATTCTGTGCTCTAAAAGAGAAAACTCAACATGTCCACGCAGAAGTTGTACATTTGTACTTGTACTTGTAACTAATACACAAATACAAGTACTAATCTGCTCTTTTGACTTGTTTTCTGGTGCCTGCGTAGCTCATTCTGCAGGAGTCAAATGTAATCCTTAAAAAAATGTCTGAACACATCTTTCACCGGAGCAGGCATGTATTCAGGATGACGTGAAACATAAAAAACTGAAATATAGTTCATTTATGTCAGTAAACCAAATTTAAAAGGTGAAACGTATACACGCGACAGACTTATTCCATGCAAAGGCAGATGTTTCAGCCTTTATTTGTTATAATTGTGATGATTATGGATTACAGCTGATGAAAACCCCACATTTAGGATCTTAGACAATTAGATTATTATGAAAAAGTTCAATATTCTAGATTCAGTGTCACACTCTCAGCTAATGATTGCAGAACACCCACAAAGACTTCCTGAGCCTTTAGATGGTCTCTCAGCTGAATTACTAAAATAAATGGACTTTTGCACCATATTCTAATATTTACATTTTCACCTTTAAAGAGAAAGCACATTTTCTTTGGTGATTATTAGATAAAACATATGGATTAACGCTAAAGGTCAAAGGTTTCAATCTTTTAAAGGAGTTTTTTAGGCTCATTTATTTGTCAAAGATTAGGAATGAAATAATCTCGTGTGTTTCTGAGAAAACCCTCAGGCTAGGGAGGTGTGTTTCAGACAGAGCTCAGGATGTGAAAAATGCAGTTTGTAAAGAGGCAGTTTGGGCTTTAAAGGGTTAAGAGTGAATTGTTTAACATTAAAAGGAAGCAGCAGAACTCTGAAGCTGTTAAAGTCAGTTCTGGTGTGCTGCCAATTCAACATTTGCAATTCATGTTTACTAAACATTAAAAATGTGTTGCTGCTCTTTTTGAAACGACTTCACATTTAATTTACAACATTATTTAAACGACACACATCTTAAGAGAGCAGGAAACTCGTGCTGCAAATAAGTTGAACCCTCTCGCTCCACATAGATTTAGATTAAATTATGGTTTTAATTACATATTATTATTTTAATACTTAAAGGGACTTTACGGAGTGTGTGTGTGTGTGTGTGTGTGTGTGTGTGTGTGTGTGTGTGTGTGTGTGTGTGTGTGTGTGTGTGTGTGTGTGTGTGTGTGTGTGTGTGTGTGTGTGTGTGTGTTTGTGTTTGTGTGTGTGTGGCCCGGAGGACAGAGGACAGGAGAACACACAGCTAATTAATTAAATAATTTGGTTCTGTACCTTTCTCTTCAGCACAGCCGACAAAGGTTTATGATGGGTCAGTCCTCCTGCATGCTCAGATCATTCCCTTCCCTTGCTTGAAAATTTGTTCCAAAATTAAATTTGAACCCACATCTTTTTTATCTGTGAATTCAATGCCGTTCGGCGAGTCTCAAATAAAAATTTGGACATCTTACTGTAAAAAAAATACCATTAATGTAAAAAAGAAACTCTAAATAAACTATGTTCACATCTAGAATCGAACCCGGGTCTTCTGCACGAGAGACCAACGTCTTTCTAGATGAACTAAAGCACCAGTGACATCTTATGTATCTGTAACATTTGAATCCTTGATGACAGCTGAAACAACGTTCAAAGAACGGTTCGGAGCGAAAATGGCTATTTTGTTGCTAATTTGCAGGAAATATCTAGAAGAAAGTTCTACAGAAAGTAGCTAAGGGTCCTCAGAAATGTAGCTAGGTCCGTCACTAGGCGTTAGGAACAGCGACAAAGTTGCTGAGTTGGTACTACCTCTCTCTCTGCTGCTAAAGCTACAGATAGCAAATGCTACGGGCGATGCCTGAACGTGAACGCGCATGAAGCAGCCTGCTAGACCCGAGCAGCTCTCTTTTTCTGTGATTTTACAGAAAAATAGGCAATCACAGTAAAAATGCCAGGGCTCATTCTACAGGACCAGGGCATTGCAGGAGAATGTATGAAGAAGACATTTATTATTTCTATACATGTTTTGGCTGTCAAACTTCCATAATGCCCCTTTAAGTGTTTTTTAAAAATCCAAGAACAATCATGGCCCTGATTTCCCAATAAAATTCCTTTATATCCTTTCCTCAGACGCAGTAAGACACCCCAACCCCTAACTTGTGCCACATTTTCCAGAGCGGATTTCTTGTATTTATATCGTACATTTTTAATATTACTCGTTATGATTTATGTATGACAGAGTCGACTGCACTCTGTAATTTTATTGTTCTTTGTAAAAAGTGACATCAAGGATTTGACTTGCTACAAACCACAAACACATCAACCCAGCTGCCCTGTCTCTAACCTCATTTGACCACACCCTTAGGTTAAAGAAGGCTAAAGAATGCTCATAAACACTAGAAGTGTCTGCTTTCTACTAAGAATTTAAACAACAATCTCGCTTTGACAACCGTATGTTTTCATGATTCTACGTTTTTATGGATCCAACAATAAACACACTAAAGCAGGACCTGTTTTTGAGTTTAAACCTGTAAATTCCTCCTTTTATTTGAGATTATTCTCATTTCTTTTACCTCTGCTGAATGTGAACAATTATCTTGCTGATAAAAAAAACCCAACAGGAATAAAGTCTTTAATGCTGATCGTTACTTCTCTGCCATGGCTGGTTCGTTCCAACTTTAACTAAATCTGCTGTTTTATTACTAGAGTTCACATCCATGAATTATGCACACCCACACACCCAAGTTCAGTCCATGAATGGTAGTAAAACTAATCTGAGTTGTTAATTCAGGCCCTTTTATCAGAGACAGGATAGAATCTGATAACCTATGAGATCAGCTGATTGCTTCTCAGCTCATTATCATGTTCTGGTTTTGTTTCATTTACAGCTCAGCAGGACGCCACACCCTTTCTCCTGCAGAGGCTTATGGGTCTGCAGACCCCACAGCAGAAACTCTCTCCAGGAAGATCTTCTCTTTAGCTCTCTGAACCCTAAACAGCAGAGTGATATTCAACAAACTGCAGAAGGCAGGGTAGCATCTGTCTCTGTATGAAATCAGATGCACCACATCTGTATTAGCATGTATGTTAAACCCGAGGCTTTCATACGGAGCCTGTCTACAAGAAAACAGAGCGTGAGCGAACCGAGAAATGACTGCATGTTGTGCTCGTGCACATACACGCAGGCAGCGTGTTCGTATACCGGCTGTATACAAAGAAAAGAGAGACGGCATCAATAATGTAGCATCTTGACTCCGGTAGTCCACAAAGTCCAATTAATCTCAAAGACGAAGGAACAAAGGCTTCGCTATTTGACAAACAGGACATGGTGTAGTTTGCTCTGCTCTGACTCAGACTTGATAAGCAGAGAAGATCTAGAAAAGAAATGTTCAGGGGGCTTAGTAAAGGAGAGTTAAACACCAAAAGTGGCTAAAAGGGATCTTCAAAGGGAACGTCCCGACTCTTTTCAGCTCTTCTGACATTTCACTGCTTCAGACAAGCCCACCTTAGCTCTGCGCTCTGACTGAAAATACACCTTTTACTCCGAGTCAAACCTGCCCGGGCCTAAAGAGACACGAGTGAAGTTTGACTCGCTTCACTTCTGATCAGACTCCGTCAACGAGCTGCACGTTAGGAGAAAACACACTCAGCTCATGTCTGTGGATGGTTCTGCTTGCTCTTATGAGTATAAAATGTGGCCTTAATGCCTGATTTAGGTTTTATTAGGTTTTACAGAGTTTAACCAAAGTTAATCACAGCATCTGGATACGAGTCAAAATAGTTTTCTGTTTATTTGTAACTTTTTTTAAAATTCTTTCAACATATCAGGATCAAATTTGAAACTTAAGTACATAAAACTTTCATTATTTTAATTATTAGACAGTAAGAATTGTTTTTTATTACAATACTTAATGAAAAGTGGTTTAATAGGTGCATTTGAAGAGTTTGATACCTAGGAACATTTATTTTACTCTTTATTCTGTATTTTAAAAAGTAGTTTTGCAAGTTTTAAAGTAAAAATATCCATCCCTCAAAACTTTTTTCACCTTTCTGATATTAAATAAAAAATAAAAAATGAGCATCTAAGCAACAACAATAAAAAAAACTAATCAGGAAATCTTTAATCAATAGAGAAGTCAGATTCAACACTAAACCTACTTGATTTTATGCCTAAATGTTCTAAACATAATAGGAACAAGGAAGGCATCGGATCCTTACAGGTCGGTATCTGAGCGCGTCCCGGTAGGAACCAAACAGGGCGGCCTGCGCCCTCAGGAAGGCCCTCGCCACTCCACTTCCTGTTGCTGTCGACTGCTTCTTCAGCTTGCTCTTCAGAGAGGACACCTGGTGGAAAACACGAAGAGGGAATGGAGGAAGAGAGGGAAAGCGATGAGGAGGAGGGTAAAAGTTAAATTATCACCTCTGAAATTGGTGGAGGAAACAGCGAGCCCATTCTGGGTGTGAAGTATCACATTTACAGGTCATCTCAAAAAGGAGTAGAATAGAACGAGGAAAGCTTGAGCCTTTCCTCCTAGCTTATCTGTTGTGCTGCTAAGAGCACCTGCTGCTTTGCTAATTGAGCAGTGCATGGAGGTGGCAGGAGAAGGGAGGGGGTGCAGAGGAGAGGAAATGGATGCTTGTATCTCAGCTCTTCCTCTTTCAGCCTCTCTTCCTCCGCCATCACCTTCTCTCCCTTTCATTTCTGCCTCCACGTCTTACTCTCTCCTGCTCCTTCCATCCAGGCCTGCTGTTTTCCCCTCCCCTCTTGGCTCTCCCAGACTCCCTCTAGAAAAGGGATTCTTGACATAAAACGTCTTTAATTATTTCCCCCTCTCCTGGCGTCGTCTCCAGGACTCCAGGCGAGAGTGGAGGAGCAGCGGGCCCGAGCTTGTTTCAGGATGACAAAAGATTCACCCTGGCCACCGGGCCCTGGGGAGTCTGGGAAGGAAGTTGTCAAGAGGCTCTCCTCACCTGCTCAGCAGTGGTCTGACTGTGCTGTGGAAGTGCGAGGAGGCGGCAGAGATACAGTAGTGATGTCATGTAGTGAGGGACTGTCGCTCACTCTGTGTGGGCAGTGCCTGCTTCGCACAAAAGCACAGAAAGTCTAAACTACAGCCTCAGTCACCTGGTAGCGAAGGGGAAAGGAGGAAATTCTACCTAAAAGGTTTATGATCTAAAATCCTTCATGTTGTTTTCATTTATTTCTACATTTCATAGTTTTGTGAACATAAAAATGTTTCATATGCAAGGAGGAGGAATGTAAACTAAACCGAAACTTTGCAGGTAAAAACTATTTGCTTCCCAAGTACGGGAGGGGCACACGGATCACGCACGCTGAGGTGGTGTGTGAAATCCAAAAGTGTGTGTGAAACAAGCAGAAACGGAGCAAATTAACATTTAGAGCTAGCAGCCTCCTTTTTCCCATTTAACACTGCATCGCAAATTTTACTGGTCTAATTCAATCACCTTTAAAGCAAGGCAACATGTTGTGGTGTGCGTTCTGGTGCATTTGGGATACAGGTGCGTGTGTGTGTGTGTGTGTGTGTGTGTGTGTCCTGTGTTCACGTCTCTAAAGCAGCACCATAGACTTTTATTTAACTAGTGAAAAGTAAAAAATAAAGAAGAGCAAAGAAAACATGAAGGTTGTGTCAAGTTCTTCTGAGGTGTGAAGACATTTCAACCGGGTTTAATTCAATCATTGGTGACCAAATACATTTATAACGGATCACGCTGGGCAGCTGCAGGATTAGTGGATATCACAGCCCGGTGTCAGCAATTAGACCGTCTGAATGACTCAGTGGAGGAGAGGCGAAGTGTGAGCGCCGCTCAAACGGAGGACACGCTGAGAGGAACCGAGAGGCTGAGAGACAAAGAAGAAAAGCAAGACAGAGCGTGGCGGTCTTAAACTGGGACGAAGACAAAACGAACAGTGTTGATTCCACTCCCCTGGGCTTCCCGACTCTCCACAGCATCCCCACGCTGCCATCACAAATGCTTGGAGGCATCAAACAGAAAGTTTATTATGGTTAAATTAACAAGTGTCATCTCCATATTCACTCATTGTACTAAATGCTTTTATGTTTATGTAAAGCCCTTTCTGGAATTAATATTTCATACTTATGTGCATTATCACTGATTTCTTTTTCTTGTGTGTGTGTGTGTGTGTGTGTGTGTGTGTGTGTGTGTGTGTGTGTGTGTGTGTGTGTGTGTGTGTGTGTGTGTGTGTGGAGAATCAAAGCGAACACACTGTCAGTCTACGATGGGGAGGCATACCCTGCAGACTGTCGGAGCAGACGGGTAGCAGAGTTTACTCTGTACAACAGCTTTGAATGGGTGAGAGCACTCCAGTGGCAAACACTTTTTAATGAGGCTGGAAACAGTCGCTGCTGTTTTGCTCCTCAAAGTCAAAGAAATGGGCAATCGAGTGATGAGTTCAAAGTTTTACGTTTATTCCTGAGAAGGATGAAGAAAGAGACTCCTCTTTAGTCAAATGTAATGAATAATTAAATTGTCACATATATTAAGTCAAATACTTTGTTGCAGATATGTGCGATTGTCGTTTTTGCTAATAGAAATCAAAGCTCTTGACACCGTACGCTCGTTCACATCCCCGACACAAAAACTAAATGTGTATTTAGTAATCGGATCTGGAATCCGGTGCCTACGCCACAATCATCAGGTATGCCTCCGCGGTAATGGCTCTGTCAAACTAATTAACTTCTACAGTTTGAGTGAAGCTAACGAGATGCGTGCAGGCATCAGAGGAAGGCCAGGCTCTACAGGTGATAACCCTATTTGGCAGTGACATTTTTTAGTGTAAAGTCACAGCGGCGGTGATGAGATCAAAGGCAGAGACTCCCCCATTGGGTCCAATTAGAACTATAGCATTGTACAGGGAAGGGGTGGCAGGAGAAGAGAGGGGAGTGGGTGGCTGAGCGAAAGAAAGGAAGAAAAAAAACTGTTGAGTTATGATATTCATAATCTATGCAGAGAGGCCTTTCCAGTACAGGTCTTCTCCCCGTAGCTGTGATCTTTTCAATTTACATCAAGGGAAGATAGTCGGGGATGAAAGCGGGGCATCCGAGGCGTATAGCCCACAGAGGGCAGACACGGGGCCTCATTAAGGCTCGGCCCAGACAGTCCCAAACAGGGTTTGAAGTGCGTCACATAAAGAGCACGGGGTCAAAGGTCAGACAAAGAACAGATCTCCATTTAACTCTCCAGCTGGAGATGGTAATTAGCAGGTGCAACAATGATCCCGGACCGACTGTAAGGAATGATGCTGCTGCAGGTGACGCCAGGCATCTGTGTGAAGGTGTGCAAACAGTACAGACACCCACCCACACACACACACACACGCGCTTGTTCACTTACACTCATCCATTCAGACTACTCTTAATGATCAAACAGGTGATTATATTTTCCCTGACGACACAGAGTTGTTACACCTTGCTGTAAAAAGACCTGCAGGTCGAACTTGTTCCTGAAGAGAATCCATGTTTAAAGTTAGAATAAATAAAGTGTTTGTGTCTCAAGAACCTTTAAAGTTAATCTGCTGAAGAAGAATACCCCCCAAAAACGAAAACCCTTTAAAGATTGTCACCAATATCAGCTAAATTTGTCTGAGTGGAGGTTTTTTTTACTTCATAAACATCCTGTGTTACTGTTTCAACTGCAGTGTTGACCAAAACAGAGAAAATATATCAATATAAATGTAAAAATACTTGATGAAATAATCCTAGCTTTCCCAGGTTACCTTAAGCAAGACTGAATGTTTGATTTGATGTAAAGATTCACTTTTGTAAGCAAACAGAGAAAGATTTAGTTGTAAAATCTCCTTTAAAAGGTCATAAACCACCTGATTCCAGACAAGACCACAGCAAAGTCACAGCTGAAGACAGAAACAGGTCGTGCTCCGCAGGGTGAGCTCACGGTTTCAAACTCTTGTGGATAAAAAGCTAAAAGTTTGTAACTCTAGATAAAATGACAGTAACAAAGCTGAGGATCTTATGTTTAACCCTTTAACTCCCTCACCATGAAAAAAAGCTATGAAAACATTCCACGTATGCATTTTTTGATTTGGGGCAATAAGGGCTTTAGTTTAATGTAAATCAATAATAGTAACAATATCATAATTGTAATAATATTAAGGTAATAATAATGCAATGTAATAACGTTACACCTTTCTTCATACAACTCCATATTGTTTTAATTATTCTGTTACGCTATATATTTTTTGGGTTAAGTTCATTTGCTGATTCAGTGAGTCGGGACTTTAGATTTACTCCACCAGGTTAAGTTGACCAGGCAGGCAGAAGACTAAAGGAGCAGAAACGTAATCAGGTGTGAAATAAATAAAAGATTCTTTTGTAATTTGATTAAAACCAGAACTCACTGCTCTGTCCACTGAACTGAAACACACACGTGCAATTTAGCAGGTTGAATAAAAAAAGGAAGCAGCTTGAAAAAAACAAATACATTTATAACGGATCACGCTGGGGTGCACTGACAGAGGAGAGGCTGCCGAGCACAGGCGCCACCGGTCCCTCCGACCACCACCAGCAGGCAAGGTGGGTTAAGTGTCTTGCCCAAGGACACAACAGCAGAATTCTCTGTCCGGAGCTAGGCTCGAACCTGCAACCTTCCGATTACTGGACAACCCACTCAACCTGTTGAGCTACTGCTGCCCCCTCATGAATATTTAATATAAACAAGTCCTGAATCTAAAGTTGGGTTTTTCTTTACCAGTTAAAAGAGAAAAAACACAAAGATCAGTTTACTTGTGAGAGTTCAAAATAAAATAATAAATGATGACAGCTTTGCATAATCCATAAACTTCCAACAATTAACAATTCAGATATAAAATAAACCTGCTGGACTGCCAGTATGACATTCACTATAAATAAAAACAAAATAAAAACAACCCAGTAATCAGAGAAAACAATGTGTGACGAAGCTCTGAACAGATATTTAGAATTTTACTCTGAATTTTTGAAACTATGAGGCAAACCTCTCCCTGATAATGACCCGACTCGTCTGTTGTTGGGAAAGAAAACAGAATAAAAAAGTAGAATTTTCTCGTTGCAAAAAGAGTGTTTTGTGTAAGCTTCTGTCCAGGGAAAGAAAGCCATGGGGACGCAATTAAAGAACTACAAAGAAAAAAATAGTTATGAAAATCTCCCACTTTCTTTTGATGTGCTGCAGTCTGAACAGTACACACACACACACACACACACACACACACACACTGAACAAAGACACAGAAAACAGGCAGACTACACTCTAAGCACAAAGGGCACAGGGCTGCAAAAATTCACTCATCTAAAAATAATTATTAGAAATCTTTTTTTTTAATTTTCAATTAACGCTTTTTCTGACTGCTGAACTGCACAATAATAGGGATTATTACTTAAATGATTAGGATGGAGTAATCCCGATATTAGGATTAATAGAGTAGATAAGAAAAGATTAAAAGATAAAAGATAAGGCACAACTATTGTTGCTCTATTGCTGAGTACATGTAAAGCATTTAGAAAAGGGGGAAAGGAGTTGCAGAGAGGAGTGTGTGTGTGTGTGTGTGTGTGTGTGTGTGTGTGTGTGTTTTAATAGGGCTATGAGACTCTCCCGGTGTGGGGTTACTTTGTCAGGCTGACCTCTTACAGCAGCTGAACGGCAGAGTTTTGCATACATAATTAACTATAGCTAAATGTCATCTCTCGCTTCAATAACTATCTCAGTGGGTGTTGCTTCTCTCCCTCTTTCTGACTTGTAATCCAGACTGAACCGCCGGCAGAGCGGCTATGTGAAAATGAAGTGCAGCTTTTAAAAGCCACACGAGTAAACGAGGGGCTAGTCACGCCGCGGCGAGAGCAAATGAACAGTTCCCCGCCGTTTCAAACAATCACAACCCATAAAATAATGCTTCAGATGAGCAGCGTCTGACATTTGCAGCTGGTAAAATACACACTCAACAAGGTGAGGGGAGGAAGTAAAAACAAAGCACATCAGGATCTTTGGTTGGAGCTTGTTGTGGCACACACTGCGGACTGGTTCTGGGAAGTTTGTATCCGAGGTGGAGCAAACTCTTTCCTCGCTCCGAGCTAACACGTACTCGGTGGAGCATGTGAGTGGTCTCGGTCTGCTCGAACACACCAGAAGACATAATACACACACGGCTTTAACAGAGAGCATCAAGTGGACTAATCAAAAATCTGTGAGTAGCAAAAGTTCACTCCTGAAGAGCATCTAAATATCGCTGATGAACATTTCTTTTCTGACACGTGTGTGCGTGTGTGTGTGTGTGTGTGTGTGTGCGCGCGCGTGTGCACGGAAACACTGCCTGCTGTCTGCTGTTACAGCTGATGATGTAGATGTTGTTCTGTGCAAACTGAACACCAAATTAAAGCTGCGATGTTTGATTAAGTGTGCCAGGTGATCTCAGGAGAGGCGCGCAGACACAACCTCAACCCCCTCATTCATTTGTAAGCCTCCATATGCAGGCTTGAAATACAGGAAGTAGGAGTGTACGCCGTAAGTTCCCCCTTGATTGGGAATACAAATGATCAAATGTACGAGGGCTAGGGATGTATTGGTACACGGTGTCAGCAAAGCAGCGAGAGGCGGAGAGGAGGAGAATAGAAGGAATTAGGCTGTGATGTGTGAGGGAGCATCTGAAAATAAAGATATAAGCTGCATTGTAGCTCCTCAACTTGAATATGAGGCACAGAAAGAATAATACATGAAAAAAATTCTGTCATTGGTTTGAGATCAGTTGCCGGGATCAAATAAAAATCAGATTCAGTCACACTCTGTTTGTTTTCAGAATTAACAGACACCTAATTTGCTATTCTTGGATAGTTTTAATGACTAGCGAGGTAAACAACTCCACCGACCAAAAGTCAATTATAACTTTATCAGCGCAAACTCTGTGGAAGGGGGAAAAAACCGTGGATCTCGCAAAAAGAAACTGAAAATACCTTGATCTTTCAGGGGAAACGTGTTTTTTTATATAGAGTATTTCTTCTGGGTGTGCTTGTCAACACATTGATTTTACTGACAAAGCATGTCTCTTTGAGATCACCACTACTGTAGGAAACTATTGGAACTTTAGGCTGAACTTTTCCGATATGCAAACACGTGGAGTTTAAAGCACACCCTGTTTTTGACAGAGTAACACTGAGCATTAGCATAAGGGTTAAACAAAAAGAACGAGCAGCAAAATAAAGCAACACAAAAGCTTTGATAGATATTTCAATTCATTAGACTAAAGCAGATTCTGCTTCAGCTGGTTGGAAAATCTCCTTCAGCATAAAGCACACACTAAAGGTAAATAGAACAATACGATGAAGTCACTTTTATTGTAAAAACCTGCATTAAAACAACAAATCCGCAGCAGGAACACAATTAATGACAGACCTCTGATTCATGTGACATTTCCGCCCATTATTTGGAAAAACATCAATAGTGACTCTCAAAAGACTGCAGCATCCTTTCTGACCTGTTACCAATTACCCTCTTATTTAGATCTTTCCTTCTTTAGCCGAACGGAACCGCTACTGGCTTGGTAGTACGTGTAATAGTCAATAAATGTGAAATATTATGTGTGAAGCTGTGGGAAGAGACCGTTAAGGGGGCGGGCTCTTGTGGAGCTGGAGCAGGGGTTCTGTCTGAAAGAGGGACGCTAATTTAGGACAACTGTGAACTCTGACTCTGCTAAAAGCCCGGCCAGTGGACAGCCAAGACACGTAACCAGGTCCACATGTCCTCACAGCCTGCGCTGGCGTAATTAGACGGATCTCTGAAGGTTTGTTTAAATCAGAGCACTTTGTTTTGGACTTGAAACACGAGCAAGCAATGCCTGTAGCCGTCACCTTTCAAATAGTTTTCAGCTTTATGTATATGCACAGAATGTGACGCTGGACTTTAACCGTGAGGGTCGTAATTAGGGCTTTGTTTTTGGGGCTCGGGGTTTGCTCTGACTGGAAGATTTCCAGTGTTGCAGCGAGAATTAGAAAGAAACCACACGTTTTTTTTTATTAGCTCAGAAGCAACACGCGGCAGCTCAGCCATAGCATTAGTCAGGATTTCAGGCCCCAGATCAGCAAATAGCACAATGCTTTAAGTGTGTGTGTGTGTGTGTGTGTGTGTGTGTGTGTGTGTGTGTGTGTGTGTGTGTGTGTGTGTGTGTGTGTGTGTGTGTGTGTGTGTGTGTGTGTGTGTGTGTGTGAGCACTAACATCAAATGCCAGGCTGCATGTCCTCATCACTAACAAGCAAACTAACAAGAGTCCTGGAATTCCTCTCAATTAGTACCTGCTCGCTTTGTTATTAATCTGCTAGCCTCTATGGAAAGATTAGAGGAGATTGGGGGGGGACTGCATGGGAATAAAAACAATGACGATTTGTTTCGATAAATATATTAATGCCAGTGAAGTTTCAGCTTCAGGTGGTGTAATGTGACATGATGAGCGGGCTATGCTCTGTCATTAGTCAGGAGGAAAATGGTGAGTAGGGGATCAAAGAGAAAAGGCACTGAGCCTGCCACTTAATTTATCACACGGCAAAGACAAAGCCTTTTCTCTCTGCTTCTGTTGCTTTTCAAAAGACTCGACTCTTTTTATGACAAACTCGGTTTGCAATTTAATTTAGGGCTTCAGTCCCCCAGGTGCAGAAAGGCAGGCAGGCAGGAAGTGAGAAGAAGGTAGTGCAGCCAGACAGGCACGCAGGCAGAGAAGTAGGAGAAGCAAACAGCGGGTGCAAGAGACGTCCAGGTTGGCGGGAAGTACTGCGAGAGAGACGAGTAGGCAGACAGGTGCCACGAAACCCAAGCAGCCGGAGAAGCAATAAGGCAGGCAAGGCAGGTGGGACTGAAAGTCGGCAGAAAATGTTATAAAGTGCAGAAAAGAACTCCCGTAGTAAAGAGACATCCGTACACACCAGCAGTCACTGTAGGCAGAGCGCTGCTAAATCAGGAGAACCAGAGAAGTGTGGGAGTGTGAGCAGGTCTGGGGTCTGCTGGGCAGCCGATTGAATTATGTTCTGCTGGTGGGGTAGGAGTCCAGTATATGCTGTTAGCAGCGTGGGTAATGGTGCCTCCACAGCCTCAGCTGGGATCGCACAGAGGAGCTTTAATACACACACTGTGAGGACTAACTAAACAAACACATCCGTACTTGGACAAAAACAATGTAGACGAGAGTGTGTGTTCTTCCTGGTTGTGTGCAAATTCATGAGTGACCCTGACGCCATGGTGATGCTTCCCGTAGCACTGACCAGCGTCAGCGCTCCATTAATTAAAGAGACGATGCGCTGGCAGGTGGCTTCACTGCCCACACTGGTAATTGGCCCCTTTCTTCCCATCCCCACCCCCCCACGTAATCTCCCATCTCTGCCTTTTCTTTTCTAGGCCTTGTTCCCTCCTCCTATCTGGTTCTCAGAAACGTGCCAGTGGGCAGGCAGAAACGCAAGACTTTGTGAAATAATGATTAGAATGGATGAAGATGAAGGGAAGGGAGTTGCACATTTCCCCACAAGCCTGTGATGGTCGGGGAAAGCTGGGTGCCTTCAAGCGTCATACGACGCAACGGGAGTTTACTTTAGACAGCCACAATCTGAGGAGCTGGAACTGCAGTCATTAATGATGTGGGGAGGGGACGCAGCTACACTTTGACAAGTTTCTGGATGCGTGCGTGTTCCTGCGCGCCACGTGTGTGGGCACAAACACGGGTGTGATTCAACATCAGAGGAGAAATGAAACTGATGTGTGGTGCACGTGTGTGTGTGTGTAACGGGACGATGAAACCAGTGTGTGTTGGTGCGTGTCTCACCACATCACAGGGTAGGTTGTGTAGGTCATCAGAAGGACTCTCCAGGGTGTTTGTGTCCACGTTCAGAATGACCACGTCCTCCAGCGACCGACTGCGGACTCTCTGTAAGGGAAACGTATGATCTAAAGCTGCTCGTCAATCCAATTCCTGTATTTAAAATCACGAGAAACGACTTATTCTATCATTTAAAAAAAATGCATTTTTGCACATTTTAAATCCCGCTTAATTTTCAAACTGATCATTTACTATCACACAAACACATTTATGTGTATTTGGCACGTAAGACATGATCAGAATACACAAGTTATAAGTGATATGAAGTTAAGATTTGGATTTCTGCAAAAAGTCTTAAAGTCCAAGACTTTTCTAATAAAACTTTTATTTCAAGTAAAGATTTTAATTTTCTAGTTGGCGCAGATGTTTCCTCTTTTCTCTTCAGTCTCTGAACAATAAAACGCAGCAGCGACTTGTAAAATCTGTTATTAGACACTTTTATGATTAAGAATGAAAAACTGCATATAAAACAAATATTGAGCATCTTTAATGTAACAAACACATGCTTGTAAATCTGTGAGAACCAAAAAAAAACCCCTCATGCATCAACAACAACACAGTGATGCTGCGCGGTGCAGAGCGCATCCTGATGGCGACAAATTCAACAATTATTTCAGTGTGTGGTGTAGGAGGACGCAGGCAGGTGTGTGTGTGTGTGTGTGTGTGTGTGTGTGTGTGTGTGTGTGAGTGTGTCGGGGAGGGTGGAGGCAGCATAGTGTGTGAATTTCTAGTTTGTCACTTTTGTGACAGCCTGTGCAGCGGAGGCTCACAAGCTGATCTGGACTAATTATGTAGTGGCGGAAAGAAGGTCTGTCACGGATGCAGAGTGTGATAAATACTGCCACTGCCGCAACTGTCAGACAAGTATCACACACACGCATGCACACAAACACACATGCGCATAACATTATATGCAGATACACACACACCTACAGACTAACACTCACACACAAGTGCAAATGTGAGCGTTCTTGCGTCATGCACTCACACACAACAGCCACACCGATGACGGCCTGCACCCCCCCCCCCCCCCCCCCCCCCCCAAACCAACACAAGGTTTAACAATGAAGTAGAAAAGCTCTTTGTTTGCAGAAGCTCGGTGTCTTTTGTACTTCTGGTTGAGAAGGCACAGAGGCGATAGATTGAGTTGATGAGGACAAACAGAAAAATCACAGTTGTGGAAATAATAATGATAATTTAAAAAAAAGAACATTTTCTTTGCATTTTCATTGTGAGGAAAAAAAATATATCACTGATCTGCCCCCACAGCAAAAGTGTTAATCAGTGTAAAACACATCAGTTCCAAACGTACCTCCAGGAGGCTGAGATGAACTCCCACAAAGTATGGCATAGGAGCACTGAGGATGAGAGGAGCCGTTATCACCAGAGTTACAGACAGTAATAAACGATACTGAACACATTGTTTCATAACCAGAGCAGTCCATCTACAAAATTCATCTCTTCATCTTACAAACACAATATTGTCCTAAATTTAAAGATTTGGAGCTTTATTTTATATCTAGTCAACAAAAGACTTTTGCATAAAGGTCTAATATATCCAACCACAGTAAAACTGAATGTGTGAGGTGTAAATGATCTTCCAGTGGTAAAAGTCATAACATGATGAGGTCGTTGGCAGCAGAAGGAGCTTTTCATTTCCATAACATGTTCGGCTTTACCGGGAACGCTCTGACCACTCGAGGTGTTTTTGAAAGTGCAGCTACAACAAATCCAGTCTGACGTTTCCTGCCTCTGCGGGG